AATGACTGGATTCAGAGAAGTGAGGAGACTTGGAATCAGGCTCATCATCATTTACAGTGGGCTGTAAGACGTCAGCGGATTCAGGCTGATCGGCATCGCCGTCCCAACCCAGAATATAGTGTTGGCCAGTGGGTATGGTTATCCACTCGTGACCTCCGTCTCCGTTTGCCATGCCGTAAGCTCAGTCCCAGGTACGTAGGTCCGTTCCAAATTGTTCGACAAATTACCCCTGTATCTTTTAAATTGGCCTTACCTAATCACTTCCGTGTTTCTCCCACATTTCATGTCTCCTTGCTGAAGCCCGCTGCTGGCCCCGGTGAGGGAGGAGAGGAGGCGCCCGAGGACCAGGGTCCCCAACCCGTAACGGTGGAGGGCGAGGAGATCTATCAGGTGCGAGAACTGCTCGACTCCAGACGCCGGGGGAGAACTCTCCAATATCTGGTCGACTGGGAGGGTTACGGTCCAGAGGAGAGGTCCTGGGTGAATGCAGACGACATTCTAGATCCCAGTCTTATGGAGGAGTACCACCGAGACCATCCGGAGAGGCCGGCCCCCAGACCACGCGGAAGACCCCGGCGTCGACCACCTCCTCACTTCCGGAGCCGTTCGCAGGGGGGGGGCTCTGTCACGGAGAGCGCTCCTGTTACTCTTCTTTCGGGCCACCAGAGGGCCCCATCACCAGAGTACTAGTTTCCTTCCCGCACTACATTTCCCATCAGCCCTGCACCTGTCACTGATTACTCCCCTACACCTGTTCCCCATTACGTTAGACTATTTAAGGAGCTCTTTCACCCAGGTTCACTGCGAAGTCTTGTTTTGCCTTGGTGAACATCTCTGAGCGTTATTTTGGTTACTGTGGACTGTCTTCTGTTATTACCTCTGCCTGCCTTCTTCTCGTGTTGTTTGCTGCCTGCCTCTTGGACTTGTGCTCTGGATACTGGACTGTCGACTTTGGATTGCCGCCTGCCCTGACCTATGACTGCTCCAGTTTCCGAACGATATCTGCCTGCCCCGATCTCAGGTCTGTCTATGATCACGATTCTGTCTGCCCTACGATACTGCCTTATCTGTGTCTTGACCTCTGCTTGTTTGATTAAGTTACAAATAAAACTGCAAATGGATCCCAGCCGTGTTGATGAATCATTACAGTATCGCATTGTGAGTTGAGTGAATTTGTTACATTCCATTTAGATTTTAAAAATTTATAGCACAAAATGGCAGCTTTAATAATTAAAAAAACTGCATTTCAGTCAGAGATGCATATTCAACCAAAAGTTGTTCAAAGTTATAATAATGTTCCTGGAGTGTTTTTTCTGAAACGTTTTAGTTGGATGTTCATCTTACGTATTTAAAACATTACTACTTGTAACTTTTTTTCAGAATGTTCAAAAACATTCACAGGTAATATTCACATAATGTTTGCAAAATAATGAAATGGAACGTTCCCTTTCTGAAACGTTTTAGTTGGACATTCATTTAATGTATTTAAATGTTGCTACTTGTTTCAGAACGTTCAGAAAACATTCAAAAGTTACGTTCACATAATGTTTGCAAAATGGAATGTTCCTTTCTGAAACATTTTAGATGGACATTCATCTAACACAGGGCTATTCAATTGGGGTCGCACATACGCCTTGTTTTTGCACTAATTAGTTTATCCACAAGGTGGCATCACTGGCCCAGACCGTTGTTTCACAGCCGAAAAAGTAAAGGAAGAGACGGAACAACAACAACTTTCCAGAGACCACAATATCAATAGACGGCAGCGTTGACGAGCTATCTGAGGGTTATGAGATATCCACAAGTCTAGTTTAAATGAGTATAAAGACAGTGTTATCGGTCATAACTTCTGGCGAGAAATAGCGCAGACACTGAACGAAGATGATTATCAGATGTAGTACAGTTTGAAAGGCTGCGCGTTGGCTGTACGCACAAGCTGAGCAGCTTCAGACAGCGCACCAGTAGCGCTTCAACAGACGAAAACACACACAATTATGTCAAAATATGCGGTTTTGGCGAGCTACCTCGTAAACGTAGTCTTAAATGAGTTATAAAGTCTTAAAGGGGTGGTTCACTGGGTTTTTTTCTAGGCTTGATTGTGTTCATGGGGTGCAGTCTAACGTGTTAATGCTTCATTTTTTTAAAAACCCACACCGCTCTGGTCCCTTCTCTGAGAAACGGGCTGATCATTTCCTTCTTTTATGAAGCCCCTCCCTCAGAAATAGGCGATGGGCTCTGATTGGTTAGCTAGGCCAGTGTGTTGTGATTGGCTAAACCACCTCTAGTGCGCGTCTAAACGTCCCACCTCAGCGGCATGTGCTCCGGT